GCGATTGCGTGCAGTCGGGTTGGCAAAGCCTATGCGGGCAACGCATGGACTGACACCACATTGGCCCAAAACCAACAGTTGCCCGGCATGCTTCCGATTTGTAAGACTCATTTGACAATGTCCTGAAGTGGTGCCTGCGCGCTTGAGAAAGATTCCTGTTTGGATAAGAGCAATGGCTGATTAAAACACATGTTCATTCAGCCCCAGCTGGTTAAGCCGGTAAGTATGGTAAGTGACAACATCAGTATATACGAATACAGTCTGTCCGTTGGCAGCAGGTGTATATTACGCAGTGATTGACGGGTTTCAGCCCACAAATACACTTACAATTTCAGTATATGCCTATTGACTTTAAATATACTGATGTATACCGCGAACAGAAATTAATTTCTAAGGAAATTCAAGACCTGAACTTTCAACACCGGTATATCAACCAAAAAGCAAACAGGGGAGCTGGGCGACCAACTGATGAGCCAGACCCCTCGCAGCTATGTCAGGCAGCAATAGAATACCGGCGAAACAGGTGTCTGGGTCTTTCATTAGTGCCTGGACCTTTAGTTTGGTAAGTGACAACATCAATAAGACAGTACTTTCTGTCAGAGTCAGAGGAATACCTCGTAGAGGTCGAGTGAGCATGCAGAGAGCGCCCTGACGGCTATTAGGCTGTCCTCCACTGTGGCATGATTGGTGAACTCAGAGAAACTGGCAACGGTGGACTCCAAGATGTCATTGAGAGTCAACAGTGTTGCCGTGGACATGTCTTTGGAGCACTGGCTGAGCGCAAGGAGGTTGGAGGCAGCATGGAGGAGGGAGGAGGACTGGAAGGAGTTTGTGGTGCTGAGGGCGGTGACCAATTTGGCGAGGATCTGCGCAAACAAAACAGAAGGGCTAGAAAATCTTTGGTTTTACAAGTTAGCTGAGCTGCAACTGAGACTGAAGGCAGTTCTCAAAATGATCACCGCGGAATCATCACTGTCTACTCGGGATCACCATGTACTGTAGTGGGTTTTGAGCTAGTGAATACGCTGTCCGGTGGGTTTATCATGTATCACGTCAGGGGAACTTCCACCAGTTGTATTAG